TCCAGAACACAGGTGTTCTAGTCTGCCTCTCATCTTTGAAACCTGTGCTCTTAACCTACATTGGTCTCCACCTGTCCCAACCACCTTATCTCAACAACATGATTTCATCCTTGTAATAATCACTAGTTTATGATATAAGCAGCAACATGCATACCAAATAATTTTTGCATTTCAAAACTTCCTGGGCTATTTTGGCCCACTGGCCTTTTAAAAGAAGTCTAAAATCATTTGCAAGGGATTTTTTTACTGTTTATTTTTTTTATAAATATTTATTTTTGAGAGAGAGTGCAAGCGGGGAAGCGGACAGAGGATCCAAAGTGGGCTCTGCATTAACAGCAGCAAACCTGGTGTGGGGCTCGAACTCACGAACCATGAGATCATGACCTGAGCTGAAGTTGGATGCTCAACCAGCTGAGCCACTCAGGATGCACTGCAAGATTTTTTTTTTTAATCCGATGGGACTATGATTTGGCTCTGCATCCCATGTATAAACTGACTCTGAGAGAAGACTGGTTATCTTTACAATATCAGATTTTCCTGACTGAGTCACGTTCTGCCCCTCTACTTAGTCTTTTTGTTTAAAAAATATTGATTTCATCAAGCACATTATTCCCATCCCTACTAATTTCATTGTATTTTAATTGCCTCCATATTTCTATGCATCTGATCTCCATCATCACTTAAGTGGCATTGCTAGAGGTTTTCCATTGTTAGAAATTTTTTGTTTAATTCAGCTCTTGCATTTACTGTAGAACTGTTAGTTTTGAATTTTACACACAATTGATTTCTGCTGCCACCTTTGTCTTCTGGTAACAGAGTTTCATTCATTTGAGTTACTTTTCTTCATTTCTATTTCCCTTCTATTACTCTTCTGTGCCTTGACATTTTCTCCTCTCTTTTGGATTTGCCCTATGGATTGATTGGATTTGTAACTTTATGATTGCATAGGTTTTGTGTTTCTTTTCTTCCTCCACTGTTTGGGAAGGACTGTATCCTTCTTGTGATTTAACTGTTATCTTTCCATTCCTCAAAACCATCCTCTAGAAGTCTCCAGCCATCGGAATCAAGGGTGAAGGAATATCTCTTGGGGTCTCCCTTATTTGAGGAAGTTACTATATTTTTTTTTTAAGTGTTTAGTGTTTTAGTGTTTAGCATTTTTTTGGAGAGAGAGACAGAGTGTGAGCGGAGGAGGGACAGAGAGACAAGAAGAAACATAACCTGAAACAGGCTCTAGGCTCCAAGCTGTCAGCCCAGAGCCTGACACGGGGCTCCAACTCGTGAACTGTGAGTTTGTGACCTGAGCCAAATTTGGATGCCTAACTGACTGAGCCACCCAAGTGCCCCCTATAACATACACAGTTTTAAAATATTTATTTATTTTTGAGAGAGAGAGAGAGAGAGCAGGAGTAGGGCAGAGAGAGAGGGGGGCAGGAACTGAAGAGGGCTCTGCACTGACAGCAGCAAACCCAATGAGGGGTTCAAATCCATGACCGTGAGATCATGAGCGCTGAAGTCAGACACTTAACCGACTAAACCACCCAGGCGCCCTTAGATTGTTTTCTTTAAACGTCCCTCCCTTTTCATCCATTATTTTCCATATTATTGTAATCTACATCCAGGCTTCAAGTTTGTTCTTTTACATTGTGGCTGCCCCTTAATGACCTCTCATCTCACAGTAACTGGGCGAATATCTCAATGTTTTTTCAAGGTCAGTAGACAGTGGGTGATTCTGGGAAGCCAGTGAGGGTACTGTTGAAGAGGCTTGAACGTTAGGAATACGCCCCCTGTCTACTGCCCCCCCCCCCGCCCCGGGTTACACATGGCTTCTCCAGACTCACTGTCGGGATACACGCGTGGGAGCCTCCCTCCCAGAGCAGCAGGAAGCCGGGAGGACAGGCTGTGCAGCTGGCACAGCCCAACTCTGGGCAGGAGGCCAGTGCAGCGACCTCCGGTCCCTCCTTCTATTCTTTCAAAGTCCCTTCCTGAGGCAGAAGTAGGATGGGTGCCCTCCCAGAGAGGAAGGTTGGTTGCTATAGCTTGCCCCCTCCTTTCTTCCTCCCTCCCTCCCTCCCTCCCTCCTTTCTTTTCCCTAGCTGCCCAGCGCCCTGGAGCAAGCTTCATGAGAGCAGCTAGTGCCCTTGTAAGCCTCTGAGCATCCTGCCTGGAACTACCTACCACACAAGGAACTCACTCCTTTGTAGCTTTATTGAACTGCCCAATCTGCTCCTCCATTCATTACATCAGACACTTGGGCTTCTCCCAACACCCGTCCTCCGTCTCCACCTCAACCCATCCTCCTTCTCCACGTCAACCCTCTGAGATTCGTGTCCTTCCCTCAGGAGGAAGACTGTGGAAAGTCCACTACACGACCCCAGTGTTCCACCCACATGGAGCCGGCGCCTGCTACGGGAGAGGGGTGTGCCCGTGCTTCGGGGACCAAGTGGCCCATCACGACCCACCTTTGCTCTTCGACCTGTCCAGAGACCCCTCCGAGGCGCACGCCCTCACCCCGGACACGGAGCCCGCCTTCTACCGGGTGATGGACACGATCTCACGCGCCGTGGAGGAGCATCGCCGGACGCTCAGGCCGGTCCCAGTGCAGCTGGACGCGCTGCGAAACATCTGGAAACCCTGGCTGCAGCCGTGCTGTGGCCCGTTTCCCCTCTGCTGGTGTGATCGGGAAAACGGCCAAGCATAAGCGCCTCCAGGGAGAACCAGGTCCCCCTTCCAGATCCCTGCAGGTCTTTGCTGGTGTAATTAAACCTCCCCTAGCGGGTTAAGTTATCCATTTGTGAGGGTGGACTAGTTGTGCATCTCAAAACAGGAAGTTATAAGGAAGAGGCAGCCGGGTGCAGTCACCACTAGCTAGAAGGAGCCATTGGGGGGGGGGTGTTCAGACCACCCACAAGGAAGTGGGGAGGAGCAGAGCCCCCCACCCCCAACCCAGGGACTTTCACCCACAGACCTCAGTGTCACCCAGAGGAGGCCACTGTGGCCCCATCAAGAGCTCCGAGTCCCAGCAGAAGGGAGGTCCGTGCCAAACAGATTTTCAGGCAAAGAGCAGGTGCGCACCCAATATAATCAACGACACCCCGAAAGCGTGGGAGTCGGGCCGGTTCAAAGGGCACGGGCGGATCATTATTCTTGGTGAACAAATGCCCCAGTGATTTAGAGACACCCAGAATTTGGGGGCTGTGCTGAGAATTGCACGTCCTTCGGCTCCGTGTTGGAAGGTCACTGCACGATGACCAACCTTCCTTGCTGGCTGGCTTTGCACCGCACCTGCCCGGGACGGGACACCGGCAGGACGGGGCCTTTACTCCAGACTCCGTGCGCAACTGCCTGTCGGTGCACACACACAGACCCCTAGTTCCCGCCTGTGACCCTCCCCTGAGCCCAGCATCTGCAAGGAACCACGGAGGACGCAGCTTAAACCACAGAAATGTATTCTTCCAAAGCTCTGCAGGCCGGAAGCCCCCCAGCAAGGCGCGGGCAGGGACGGGGGCGGTAGGGCAAACTAGGCCCACTCCCAAGCTAGCGGGCAACGTTCATTCCCAATTCCTATCTCCCCCAAATGCAGAACTGAGCTGGAAGGATAACACGGGAACTAAGTAGCCCCGCTCACATTCTCCACACCCCCCCAAACTTGGACACAGAGTAGGAGTCCGCGTCCAGGACCCTGGCATTCACATCCTGCCTGCTTGCCTGCACGCCGTCAGTCCCCAGACCTTTCCAGAACTCGCTGGCAAGCGGGGGTCGCTGGCCGAGGCCTGCCGGAGGCTCCCCGTGCCCAGGCCCAGCCAGGAGGAATCATCCCCTCCCCTCCTGCACCCCAGTCTCCGGGGTGCCCGCCCGGAGGCGGCCGGACCCCGGAAAACCTGTTTCCGAGATCAATTCCCGGAGGCCCCCGGGCGCCTGCGGATCGAGCGGGTTGGGGCGGGGCGCGGCCTTGCTCCCCGGAGGGCTCAGCTGGGGACACGGTCCTGTGCGCCCGGCCCGCGCGCGGCCATGGGACCCAGGGCTCGGAGGGGACGCGCCGCGCCCGCTGCCAGGTGCTCGGGGCCCGGGGACGCGGCCACTTGGGACGGAGATGGGGGCGCTGGGGGAGGGGTTGCACCTGGGCGAGCGCGAGTCCGGGGCCGGCCGGGCGGGCCGGGCGGGGGTGCGCCTCCAAAACCCAGCTGGAGGCCCCTCCCGCCGACTGTCGGCTGCTGGACCCGAGAGCCAGCCTTATTGGGGGGTGGGGGGAGGCCACAGGACGCGGGGAGGGGAGGGGAGGGGCCTCGAGAGGCAAGGGAACACCCGGAGGGTCCTCACAGACCACGCCCCGGCAGAGCGCGGCCGGCCGTGCCCCCACCCCCACTGCCTGGGACACCCCCCTGGGCCCCGAGTACCCCCCTTCCCCCGCCAAAGCCCTCTCCTACCCCCGGAGCGCGGCCTTGTCCCCAAATGGCAGAGACCGGTCCCACCTACCCCCCCTTGGGTCTCTTACCCCCCCAACAGCCGGGCGGCGTCCCCACGGAGCACAGCCCCTTGGCCCCCCAGGCCACGGCCCATCCCCCACCCTGTTCCGTCCCCGCCCCCCACCCCAGCACGGCGGAACCCTCCCCCCTCGGACACACGTCCGGTCCAAACCCCAGTCCCCGCCCCCCTCAGGGCGCCGCTTCCTCCTTCCTGCTCGGTCCCGCCCCGTCCCCAGCCCGCGCGCAGGCGTCTGTCCCCACCCCCAACGCGACACAGGCCCAGTCCTCCCGGGTCCCCAGCCCGCGCGCACCCGTGTCCCCACCCCCAGCACGACACAGGCCCAGTCCTCCCGGGTCCCCAGCCCGCGCGCACCCGTGTCCCCACGACCAGCGCGACACAGGCCCAGTCCTCCCGGGTCCCCAGCCCGCGCGCTACCGTGTGTCCCCCCCGCCCCCCCACCACCACCACGCCGCCCTCGAAGACGCGCCGGGCCCGCCCCTTCCCTGCTCCGCCTGCGCCCGGTCGCGCTCCCTCTGTCCGCTTGTTCCCTCCCCGGACTGCGGGCGCACCGGAGCGCAATGGAGGGACCAGACAGCCCTGGGGGCCCTGCCGGGGACCCCGGCGCACGCTCCAGCTGCCAGCCAGGAGCCAGGAATGGGGATCAGGGCGCCCCCGGTCCCCAGGCGCCCCCTCGGTTCTGGGGCGGGATCCGCGTCGGGGACGCTCCAGGTCCCTTCCACGCGGGGTCAGCGGTGCGTCCCGGCCTCCCCGGCGCCATGCGCTACAAGTCCGTGTTGTAACTACTGGGTCTCATCATCTCCCTGTCGCGCCTGGGGTGCTTTTAATCCCACATGCTGCCTTTTGAAATGTAAGTTGCCCCGGCTGCCTAGACCCTCTCCCTCCTGCGGGGTCGCTTGTGGGACGCCTGGCGCACCCGAGCCCACTTGGCACCCTGAAAGGCTGAAGGCGAGGCCCTGAACGCAAGTCCTTTAGAAAGAACCTCACAGAAGTGGCCTCATTACCAAGGGGTCGGCAGGACGGGCCTGGGTTAATTCACCGGAAGAAACCTCACTCGGGCAGACCCTAACTTTCACAACCAGACCCCAGTGGGTTCAAGTGTTCTGGGGATGGGTGTTACAAAGCAAGGCAGCGGGAGGAAAGGAACCCAGGACCCGGGTACAGGCCCTTGGGGTGAATCCTAATTTGGTGGAGATGCTCGAGCCCCCCCAGCAGCGTGCTTTGAAATGTCACTCCCCTAACCTTCCCAGTCCCAACCCCTAATTTTCCCCTTTTGTTTCTGTCTCCAGGGACTCTTGGTGGGTTCTACTCAGTCTCAGTTTGCTTCTGAGGACTTCGGGGTTCCAAGCAGCAAATGCCTCTAAACCCAATATTCTACTGATAATGGCAGATGATCTTGGCATTGGGGATCTTGGTTGCTATGGAAACAATACCCTGAGGTACCCAGTCCAGCTGTTGTGTTTGCCTGTGTGGTGGGGGGTGTATTTGGCCAAATGATGCGTTTAACATCTGCCTATAGTGGTGATTCCTTAGAGCATCAGATCTGAACACTGAAAAATTGCTTTTACATAGGGAAGCAGGATCCCAAACTTTTCAAACAACACAGCACTCGGGTGAGTGGGTGTATTCCTACCCTAGGGCTGCCTCCTTCCTAAAGGAGGAATCTTAGGCAACAGGACTGTATTCTCTCTCCATCCGGGAGACCAGGACTGCTGAGATCCAGGCAGGACAGGGCTGTGGAGACCCAGGCAAGGCAGGACCGCTGAGATCCAGGCAGGGCAGGGCTGCTGAGATCCAGGCAGGGCAGGGCCACTGAGATCCAGAAGGGGTAGGACCACTGAAATCCAGGCAGGGCAGGAACCCTGAGATCCAGGCAAGGCAGGGCCACTGAGATCCAGGCAGGGCAAGACCACAGATATCCGGGAGGGGCAGGACCACTGAGATTCAAGGGGGCAGGATCACACTCTCTCTTGAGGCTGCAGGGGAGGGTCCTTCCTGCCTCTTCCAGCTTCTGGGGCTCCAGGCATCCCTGGGCTCGTGGCTGCCTCCCTCCCGTCTCTGCCTCCACCTTCACGCGGCTTCTCTGTGTCTGTGTCTCTCTTCTGACTCTTACAAGGACACCTGTCATTGGATTCAGGGCCCACCCTCATCCAGGATGAGCTCATCTCAGATCCTTAACTAGTTACATCTCTCAAGTCCCCACTCCGGGGTAAATTCCTATTCACAAATAAATACTGGGGGATTAGGACTGTGCCGATCTGCCCCGGGGCTGTGGTTCATCCACCGCAGGGAGCTTAGTGCGTATTCAGGGTGTGCGTGCTCCCAGGGGCACGTTTGCCTGCTTGGCTCCGTGCAGAAGGACAAAAGGGAAGAAAGCATCTCACTCCTTCTGTGAGCATTTCCTTTAGGATGCCCCCCCCCCCCCCCCCCCGCAGATTCACACACGTCCGCCTTGCAGTAGGTGCCCACCTTAGGGCTGACCTACACAGACCGGGGCCACCCTCTTTCCCAGCGGCCTGTCCACACCAGGAGAAACCCTTGTGTCCATGCTGCTTCTTTCCCACGCGGAGCCTGCGCAGGGCGGACGATTCAGCCACCGAACGTGGGCAATTCATCGTCTTCTGGATCTTCAGAGATGGGCATCCATCGACACAAACCAGTTTAGGACAATTTTATGCCCCCAGGGAACCCTTTGCTTTCTCTTAACCATCGCCCCCCTCTCCTGTGATGGACTGAATCATGGCCCCCGGAATTCATGCGATGCATCCCTAACCCCTCGGGACCTTCTGTAGCCTTCGGGTTTGGGGCTCAGAAAACCGCCATGAAGAAATTGGTCGGTTCAGTCCGTTAAGCATCCGACTCTTGATTGTGGCTCAGGTGGTCATCTCACAGTTGGTGAGTTCGAGTCTTGCGTTGGACTCCTCCATTGCTTACACACTCTCTCTCTCTCAAAATGAATAAACTTAAAAATATATTTAAAAAAAAAAGAAAGTAATTAACAAAAGTACCCAGACCCTGGGATTGCCTGGCCATTCCCACCCCTAGGAGCAGCACCTTTGATTTTTAGCCCACAAAGATGTTCTCTTGCAGACGTGGGGGCCGTGCCCCTCCAGGTCCGTCTGTATGAAATGTGGGCTCCAACTCACGGACTGTGAGATCATGACCTGAGCTGAAATCAAGAGTTGGGCGCTGAACCAATGGAGCCATCCCGGCGCCCCTAGAAGACTTAACTTTTGTGTAAGAACCACACGATTTAGAGAAACTGTCATTGGGTTCATGGCGACGTGGTTCCATTCCTTCACTTCATCGTTCAGTGATTTGCGACGAAATCCCTCCAACCCATCTGACACATAGGCCATTCTCCCTCCGGTAGTAAATCAGCCCCATATCATTCTTTCCAGCCGCCTCGGCGTTCGGTGCGTATGTCTAAATACACTAGAAGATGCTCGCGTTCTAAATCAGGGGTCAGCTACACAGCACTCTGGTACCTTGTGTGGGCCACACCGGATCTGTGTTTCACACCCTCCCTTCTTCCCTTTTCATTTTTTCTAACTCGTGACACATCTTAAAAAGTTCTTAGCTCCACGGGGACCCCTAAGAACAGAGCTAGGGCCAGATTTGGCCATAGTGTGCTGACCTTTGTTCCAAACCATGAAACCCCGAAGTATCTCTGATGGACGGAGCAGACCTTGAGGACCCCGTAGAGAGGTGCGTCCAGACTCACTTCTGCTTGTTTGAAACACCGGTTCTCCCTCGCTGCGTACAGGACACTCAGTGGTGGCAACGCAATATCCCAGACGCTTGGCCTCGTGAGAAAAGGACGTTGAGAACCCACGAGGTGTGTAATGAGTGTGTAGGCACTGAGGGGGTACAGGAGGTCAGGACAGAAGAGGGAGTCCCAGGACTGGCTCTGTGACCCCAACCCGGCTTCGGAATGCCTAGTTAAAAGAAAAAGGATGTATAAAAAATGAAAGGCATTTGAGAATAATACTGTAAGACTATATTTGGCAATCAACATATATATATATATATTTGGCAATATATGTGTGTGTGTGTATACACATACACACACACACACACACACACACACACATATAAGCATTTTTCCTGTTTTAAGGTTATCTTTTAACAAGTGAAGGAATGAGATTCTGCAGGAGAAGATTTCCATGCTGAAGTTGAAACCTGTAGTGTTTCACATTCTGTTCCACAACATAAAGACATGTGTAAGAGATAAATACTTGATAGAAAAGAGATAGACAGACAAATGATTGATGGATGGAAGGAAGGTTGGATGGATGGATGGATGGATGGATGGAAAATTGGTGGATGGTTGGATGGAGAGACTGAATAGCTGGCTGGCTGGCTGGATGTGATGGATGGATGGATGGATGGATGGACAGACTGAATGGCTGGCTGGCTGGATGTGATAGACGGATGTATGGATGGATGGATGGACAGATGGATGGATGGATGGAGGGATGGATGGGTGGGTGGATACATGGATGGATGGATGGAAGGAAAGGTGGATGGAGGGAGGGAGAGATGTTATGGGATTCTGGAGTGATGGTGGGGTCCGGAGCCAATGGCTAACAAAGAATTCTTGAGACATCTTTGGTGCAAAAATGTGATTTTATTAAAGCACAGGACAGGACCCACAGAAAGAGCTGTACTGGGGTTGTGAAGAGTGACTGGTTATATACTATGGAGTTGGGGGAGGTAAAAGCAGAAGGGAGGCCTCCAGAAGGACTTTGGTATGCTAAAGAGGACTCCTAAGATAGCTGAGACCTTGCTATTGTCAAGTTAAGGTGGTTTTTCCTCTAGTAAGGCGTTAACATTAGGAGGTAGGGGTTTCCTGGAGAAATGTTCTACTCTGTACTTACCTCAAGTATCTGTCAATGGGCTGTAGGTTATAAGGAAATTTCATTATATCTACCATTTCCTTCTTGCCTTTGTTCCCTACATCGTGATGGAGGGGAGGGTGATATTGGGGCTCCAGGAAACAGTCTATAGGGTTCTGGAGATGAGGCTATTGATAGGGTTGCCTTTTTCTTGTAATGTACTAAGACATTTTTAAACTGATCAAGACTCCTGTCTTGCATGACTGTGATCTCGATCAGTTAACCATTTGTTTTCTTTCCTTTACTTTGTTTTTGAGCATCAAGGGGTGCCTGAGGAATGTCACACATGTCCCACCTGGGCAGGGAGCTGTGTGCCGAGTCTCAGTTCGCCTTATGCTCCCTCATCAGGTGGATAGAAGGATGGATGGATGGATGGATGGATGGAAAATTGGTGGATGGTTGGATAGATGGATGGAAAGATAGATGAAGGATGGACAGATAAATGATACATAAATTTGTAGATAATAGATACATAGTTGGACTTTGGGATATCAAACTGGAGAGAACTTTTTGTCAACTGTGAAAAATAGGTCATCGCTAACAAAATTATATTTAATTGGTAGAATCCTATAAGCCCCTTGCAAATCGTGTTCATAGCTGAGCCAAAAAAAAAAAAAAAAAAAGAAAAGAAAAGTAAATTTCTACAATTGGGTTATTGAAAACAACCAGCATGAGTACAGAATGGGTGCTTTTTAACAACAACAGTTATATCTCAGTTGATTGCAATTAAAATATGAGTCAAAGCAGTCAGAACTATCTTGAATGACATTGACACAGCTGTTCTTTGGAAACAGAGGCTGGGCAGGGCCCCAGCAGTTGCCCTGAGGAGCAGGTGTCTGAGCTTCCCCTTTGGTTTCTGGGCAGGCAGGGAGGGCCTGGAAGTCACAGCTGATGGAGCTCAGGTATCAGCTTACACACAAGAGGGTGAGGGGCACTCCCTGCCTTCCAACAGGAACAAAGCGATCAGGAAAAAGGCTGCCACGGTCACAAAGTGGATGGGTGATTGTAAACTGTCGCGACCGGTGCGACAAACACCGAGGTCAGGGTCCTGAGGGTAGGGGAATGCAAGAAAAAAAGAGAGAAGAGAAAGTGTGGGAACAGGAGGGTCCCCTGGGCTGATGGCCCAAGTGACGGCTTTATTGTTGCTATACACAATCTTTTATATCCAGACTCTTATGGGTCAGGCCGTTCTAAGAATAAACAGGTTTCACATAATCGCTGCCAACCAAAACATTTAGTTCTGTGTTTCTTGTGCATTTTCTAGACGGGTCACAAGACCTTGTTGATAAGATTGCTAGCAAAACACAATTCCCATGTTTGTTTCTATCTGACTCGGGGTAGAAAAAGGGAGGTAGCATTACTGCCAACACCTGCAGCCCACGGGCTTCAGGAATTAACTCTCTCAGCCTTGACAAGGCTTTCGTATGCCCTTGAAAGTGGGGAATGGGAGGGGGAACCACCGGGTTGGCTTGAGTCAACGGGGAACGTTGCTCAACCCGGTCTCAGCCTGGCACCGGGGCCCGGTCCCCCATAGTAAACAATCAGAAAATCCATGACTCATACCAGATGTGACCCCCGATATCTAAGATGCTTGAGTCACAATGCCCAGTACGGCACACTCTGGATTTTTTTTTTTAAGTCAAACGGATTTGGCATTAAGCCCTCCTTTGGCACTTTCTAGCTCCATGACCAAGGGTGAGGGGTTCAACCTGCAGATGTTGCTTGTCTCCTCGCAAACGGGGAGATCGCTCCATTGGCCGAGAAATCGCCAGGGCTAAAGATAACACAGGGTGTCTCAAAATGCAGCTTTTCGCTGTAATGACCCCTAAAATTACTACACCAACTCAGAAGTTTACACCTTAACAACGAACATCTTTTGAAAACGATCCTCTTGCCCGTTACCTTTATGCTTCACTGGCCTTGAGGGTTTTGACGAATACATTTAATTTTTCATGTTTTTTTTTTTTCAGACAACATGTACCATGTTCAATCAAAGGGACCGAAACAAAAACAAAAGTAAAACTAAAAATGTGTTCTTCAAAAGGTGAAACACCATTCGAGTTAGAAAGAAAGGTACTTAGTGCAGCATTCAGAGGATGGTCTCGGTGGTGGTCTTGATTCGCCTCACGTTCTTGAAGCTGAAAACCCACACTAGGACTTTGGGACGCCCACCAACTCACAGAGGTCCTTCAGTTGACCTCTTGTTCCTTCACAGCTCATCTTGTTTCTATCCTCTGTCCATGCAACCCATGGACACGGACCCTCTGGGACACCTGGAACCCCCCACTAGCAAGCAGTCAGTGTCACAGGGCTTGGGGTGTGCCTTATGTACAAGAAAATAGCGCCCATTAGTGCCATGACTCAGCCCGGGGCTGCCCATTCCCCCTCAACAAAGCCACAGTCACTTCAGCCTGCTCCTCCTGCAGCACTGGGTGAACAGGGAACTTTAAGGCTCTTCTCCCCTGTAGATAATGGTTTTGGACCACACTCGACTCCCAGAATCCTCCACCAATACTCTTAATCTCAGCTAGGAAGCCCTCCACCCATGCCTCCAATACTGTCCAAAGATCCCTTTCACCTTGAGGTCATTGGCTTTTGGACCACTTGCCCATAAGGAAGTTTTAGGTATTGGCTTTTGCAGATTCTATTCCAGCCAGTGGCCTTGGTCTTCCTGTCGTCCTCTCTCTCTCTCTAATCCACTTGCTCTCTGCTATTTATAACCCATCCGCACAAAAACTTGGTGGTCTAGGCAGGAAAGGGGCACTTTGTCCCCATTCGATTGGGAAGACCATTTCCTGTATGTAGAACAGAGCATGCTCACAGAACAGCAATGGGTATCAGGGGAAGCTTGTTCCTGACCCCCAAGACCCTCTGGTGACGCAGTGGGCTCAGATGTTGGATATACAGGCAGTGGGTTGGGCTCCAGCTGAGGACCCCAGGGCAAGGGCCCCGCATCTTTTATAGCAAGCAGTACTCAATGCATGTGCTCATGCTGGTTGTTTTGGGGGTGGGTCCATCTGCCTCTGCAAGACACCATATGTAATTACTTCTAAAACCTATAGAAATGCACTCTGCCAGTACCTTCCAGTGCATGGATCCCCATAAGCTGAATGCATGTCCCCGTCCTGACAGTGATTGTCTGTGTGGTTTGCTCAGGACACCCAATATCGACCGGCTTGCAGAGGAAGGCATGAGGCTCACCCAGCACTTGGCGGCCGCCCCCCTGTGCACCCCGAGCAGATCTTCCTTCCTCACGGGGAGGCACTCCTTCAGATCAGGTCGGTGTTGTTGGGACAATCGAGAAAGGGGTATGTCTACCTACCGCCACTCATTTCTCATCTTCAATATTATTAGCAATGCTTGAGATCCAGGGGAAACGGTGCAAATATAATCTGCAGAGGCATCACCTTGTAATTACATGAAGAATACTGTGTTTTATATAGTCATGCAATGATTGGGTCGACTGGGAATTCCAAGGCTGAAACTCTCCAAGGGTAGTTGACTATGTTTGACATTGTGTTTAGTTGTCTAAATATTTTAGTCAATCTTGACGTGCAGTCATGATTTCAGACAGGCTCTGGGTGAGTGTATAGGGGCTGAATGAGGGTCTCCAAAGATCCCACATTGTAATTCCCAGAAGTGACGAATGTTCCTTTATATGGCAAAGGGGACTTTGGAGATAGGATTAAATCAAGGATCTTGAGATGGGAAAGTTATCTTAGATTATCCAGGTGTCCAGTGTCATGACAAAGGTCCTCATAAGGGGGAAGCAAGATGGTCAGGGTCAGAAAAGGACAAGGAAGAGGTTGGTGTGATGAACTTCAAGGATGTAGGAAGGGGCCATGATTTGATTCTCAGTGTCTGCTTAAGCTAAATGCATGCGTACCCTGTGACCCAGCAGTTCCTGAGTATGTGCCCAATATGGACACACAGGCATGTTCCACAAAAGATGGAATGAGAACGTTCACAGCAGCACTGTTTGTAAGATGCAAACACGGAGACAGTTCATCAGCAGAAGAGTGGGTTAATAACCTGGTATATTCACGTATTGGAATATTGTTGTATTGGGCTGTTTGAGATGCCACATGGAACGCCACAGGTGTGGCAGCCTCAACAACAGAGATGAATTTTCTCACCAGTCCTGGAGGCTGGGAGTCCAAGAAGCAGGTGGGGCTGAGGCTGGTTCCTCCTGAGGCCTCTCTTCTCAGCGTGCAGACACCATGTTCTCCCTGTGTCCTCATGTGGTCATCCCTCTGTGCGTGTCTGTGTTCTCATCTTCTTTTCTTAAAAGGACACCAGTCCTATGGGATCAGGGCCTACTCTACTGACTTCATTTTACCTCTTTAAGACCTTATCTTCAAACATAGTCACATTCTGTGTGGTTAGGGGTCGGCTAGAGGCTAGTAGCACCCACTTTCCCCACCAAATTGTGACAACCAAAAATACCTCCAGGCATTGCCAAGTATTCTCTGGGGGGTAGAATTGTCTTTGGTTGGGAAACACTGACATAGATCATGGAAAGATGATAGATAGATAGATAGATAGATAGATAGATAGATAGATAGACATGATGTATGGATGGGTGGATGGATGGATGGATGGATGGATTGATAGAATATATGTTGGGTGA